TGCAACCACAGAGCATACTTAGACAGTACCTTGGCTCTGATACCAATTGTTGCGGAAGCCAAATGTATATAGTGTGAATAAGTCACAACTACTATACCAAAAATTATGACAGCCACCAAATAATAAATAAGACAATAAAACAACAATAAAAAGAACACCAGAATTTACGAGGTTCGGCTAATTTTGCCTACTCCTCAGACACAACCAATATTTTATTCCACTCCAAAAATACAAGTGAAATAATACTAAAGAGAGAAGATACAAATGCCTTAAACAGATGAGAAGGCAAATGAGAGGTGTATTTAAATCCTAAACATTAAGCCTTCTTTTATAGGGGCAAAATCCCCCCAACTTTTGTTTTCCCACCGATGTGGGACAAACATTTTGCCAATTTCAACAGCTACAACTTTGGTGAAGCCTATAACGGGGATTCAAATCATTATAAGAAAAACATGATTCAACTGACCTTTTAGTGTGTCGCCTAGGAATCAATTTCAGGAGGGAATACGGCGAGCTTGAATTTGATGCTTTCCAGCTTCTTGCGCTCTATTTCTTTTGCAGATCTGACTGCTGCACTGCATGCGTTCACCAGCCTCATCTCTCGAAGGCTAGGTACAGAAGCCAGCTCATATGGCACAGCCTTAAGCTTATCACAAGATATAAGAACAAGCTGCCTAAGTCTTGGGAAATGAAATTCTGAAGCCTCCCAAGTTTCCAAGTCTGTCGTTTTAATCAACAAGACCTGGAGTTCACTAAAACCTCCTATCTCTGGCTTCCAGGACTTCCCTATGAAAGCATTTTCTTTCAATTTTAGGACCTCAAGGCTTTCTAACTCCCCCAAACTATTTGCCTCACTCCAATCAAACTTTGTGTTTGACAAAATTAACTTCTTCAATGTTCGTAGAAATGTGATGAATAATGGAGGAAGGTGAAGTTTTTCATCCATGTAAAGAGCATCATTCAACAATTTCAAATGTTCTAGGCATTTTAGCTCTTCAAAATTGCACCAGCCACCCCCCTTAATTTCAAGAAATTCCACCAAGTTCCCTCGAATACTCAATTTTTTGAGATTACAAGCTATTGAAATTACATCTTTCGTGCAACTTTCAGGTGCAACCACAGAAAGAGTTTGTAGGGCACTTGAAATTTTACCTGTTGGGGGTAGGAGGGGGCGGCAATCTTGCAGGGATATTGGTGTGAAGATGCATCAACTTTAACATGCTCCAAATATCTGCTTTTATGTCAAGACTGGATACTTCTGCACTCGAATTAACTATAAGAGTTTGTAAATTCCAAAATCTACCAACTTCCACTGGAAGGTCATTGAAGTCACCTGAAATAGCAAGATACCTCAAATAAATTAGGTGATAAAATTCCTTGATGAAACGAAATTTCAGGCATTCAATGTCCAAGACCCTGATTAATGGAAATGCTTTCTCGAAGAGTTGGATGTCATCAGACGACAACTTGGTTTGTGTTTGTTTAGAGGAAAAACAGTAGAAAGATCTAACAGGCTCAGCAACTGGTTTTGCCGAGAGAAAATCGTGTAGAACAGAGGGTTGAATGCACAATCCTTGAGAAGTATACACTGCTTGTCTCGTAAGGATATCCTTGTGGGGTGTTGGACATACTTCTTGAAGAATCCTTTTTCTATTAGCCTCTGCTTTGCAGAACTCATGCAACAAGTCGTGAATGTGACATGTTTTTATTTGGCCATCAAAACTCTTCTTCTTCACCATCAGCAAGTTCCTACCAACAAGGTTGTTCAAATAACGCTCTGCTGTCTCCTCAAGCGTGTATGGCGGTTCGGGCCTTATCAAGCGCTCAGCGATCCACAAGCGAATCAATTTCCAAGCAGGGATATCAAAGCCGTGAGGAAAAGCACCACAATACAAGAAGCACACCTTCATTTCATGGGACAGGTGATCGTAACTCAACTTTACTGCTTCCAAGCAGCTTTCAGGGTCATCTTCATTTAAAAGAGGATGCCACACATCTTTTTCAATTAGTTTCCAAGTACTTCTGTCCTTACGATGTTTTAATTTTTTTGCAATTACCACTAGCGAAAGTGGCAATCCACTACATTTTGATGCAATGCTTTTTCCAAATACTAGTAAGTCATCAGGACATCTGCTCCGGCCAAAAACTTTCAGTTCCAACAACTTGAAACTTTCATTTGGAGTCAGAAATTCCAGATAATGAGGATCCTCATTAGCATTAGTAGCCACGTATTCTAGGCGAGTGGTCATCATGATTCGGTGGCCTTTTTTGTTTTCTGGAAAAACTTCCTTGACAGAATTTACAACTGCTGTCTCCCAAACATCTTCCTTATATCGATATTCTTCGATGCTTCGTTTCATGAGCCCTCCGAGAATATTAAGAAATATCTTCTTTTTGTCGTATGACTGGCCGACATTGATCCAAATCTTGTTCGGAAACTCGCCTGAAATTTGAGGATCATAATAGATTTTTCGTGCAAGTGTGGTTTTGCCAAGTCCAATCATACCCACAATGGGAACAATATTTAGATCCTCTGGTCCTTCAATGAGTCGCATGATCACTTTTTGTGCTTCCTCCTTAATAACACCAACAACTTCGTTATCTTGATCCTCTGGTCCTTCAATGGGTGGCAAGATCACTTTTTGTGCTTCCTTCTTAACAACACCAACAACTTCGTTCTCTCGATCCTCTGGTCCTTCAATGGGTGGCATGATCATTTTTTGCGCTTCCTCCTTAATAACACCAACTTCGTTATCATCCGAAGTAAGATGCTAGATTTAAGATGAAATATCAAAAGTCAGAGATGAAAATCTTCTTCTTTTTTGAATTAGAACCTAAAAAGAATTCTTAATTTCATGTAATGATGCCATAATTTGAACTCTATGCAAACATGTCCTATGATAACAAGTTGATCGGTTTGTCTTGTAAAATAACTATCCCGTCTAAATGTGGTTTTTTGTTTTAAAAAAAGCTGATTTCCTATATACTACTACTTGATTAGCAAATGCTCTTATTTTAAAGAAATGATCCATTTTGCAGTTGACTTTTGTACAAGACTCTTTGATCATGAACTGAAATCCACAATTACAAGAAGGAAACGCAAAAATAACTTAACAATCATATTGCATGTATAACTGTCAATAATTAGGATATGAAAGTTGGATTATTTGTCCAAAATGAAAGAAATAATCACGTGTCAGTATCATGAGTCAGGCGCCTATGGTGATAATTCTATCATTTTCTAGCTAAACAGCAGCAAAAAGCTTATGGAAGCCGAATTGCCAAATATACGTTCATGTACACATCACGGGATCATGGCTCCGAGGCGAGGGTCTCCCGGAAATAGCCTCTCTTTTCGGGGCGGGCAGGGGCTGGGTAAGGTTTGCGTACACTCTACCTCGAAATCACACTAGTAAAATTTTACTGGGTTGTTGTGGTAAGTAAATTACAATGAAGAAAACATAAAATTGATATTTGAAAAACAAATTTGTTCAATATGGAAAAGTCAAAAGTAGTTTTGTCACACTACTTTTGCTCATGGGCTTCAGGTATACCTGCGGCGCCAGGGCAGCTTTTTTAAGCAGACGTAACTGCCACGTATAATAATCAGTCATAGCAGACTTTGCGGTTTCATCTTGTCGATATTTGCCCGGAATTCGGTCCACCTCGTTAGCGAAGCTTTTCAACTCTTCTGCAAGATTTTTTAAATTAATCTTGCGATCATAACAGAAGCAGTATTCCGAAGGATTTTTCTCTTGGTGTAGCTTCGCGTCCCTGAGGAATTTATCAACGACGCGCTCAATTTTATTCAATGTAATTCGAATCTCGTCATCCAAATGCTTCCCGGAAAATTCATGTAGCAAGTACTCTAGGCTTCGGAGCAACTCATGAACCTCTTTCTCTACGACCGATCAGCTTTGCATCTTCATCTAATAGCTGCAACACTGTCTGTATCACGCCATTCACCGCCATCTAATAGAGACTATCTCAACTTTTTCACCTTTAATTAATTTAGAGAGAAGATCTTCACATTCATATTGCTGTGCTATTACTGTATATCAAGTTGACTCTTTAATCTCAATTATTTAGACCTGGTCTTTTTATATCCCTGCATATGTTTTATTCAAAACCAACAATATATAGTACTCCGTACTTATTAACCACTCATAGTGACAGCTGTAACTCACTAAAACATTAGCAAGTGGGTACCATATATCCGATATTTTCCAAGTTAATTTTCTAGGCACTTCCAATTTCTACCTCCAACCTCTTTTTCTTTGTAGAGTTGACCAATTGGAGATTGTCTCCCTCTTCGAGACGCCAATGTGAAATAGAAGGAAAAAACAATTCCGTTGCCAGCCTGGTCACATGAATAAACTAAACTTAAGGAATACTTGTTGATGATGTTCGGCCAAAAGTATAGTATTTTTTTTATTTGAATCGACTCGCATTTTGCTCTATTCTTATTGGTTGTAACGTGTAATTGCAATGAGTTGACCTAATTTATATTTATATGTGTAGGAATCAATTGTGAGTGAAATGGATTGAATGTGCATGAGTTGAAGCTAAAAAGGAAGAAAAATGGACAAGTGCCAGATTCTAGCGTCTAGAGTAGCGCGACGCACTACTGTGGCGCTAGAAACAGAAGACCAAAATTTTCAATGCCCAGGCTAGCACGACGCCTATGGATCTCAATCTCGGGAGTTGTCCTATTTCGACTTGGAGAAGATCTCTTTGGGTCCTAGACGCCTCTAACTTGTATAAAAGGAGTCCTAAACCTAATTTGGAAGATAACTAACATTTTGAGAGGGAGGAAACCACTTTAAAGGAGAATTGCATTGGGGGCACGTTGGAGCAAGCTTTCAACTAGTTTTTCTCTCCTTCTCTTCCTTTAACCTTATAGTTTATTAGTTCTGGAGTTGTATGTGCTACATGAACGTTGTAGTTTGAAGCTTGAATTGTTCTTATTATTTTATCATATTGGTTTATTTATTCAATCATGCGCTTAATTATTTGATTGTTTGATCACCAATTGAATATTATCTATGAATCTAGGGTTATACTCGGGAGATGAAATTTTAGATTGCATATAAGATTGAGTAGAGCAAGACTTGAATCTGGGCATCGGGAAGTGGATTCGCGGTTAGGATAGGGATATATACCTAATCGCCTTGTTTGGTTACTATAAGGGAATTATTAATGCATTCTTCTTAATCCAAATTCCATAAGAATGTAGGCGTTAGGTTAGCTTGAATGGGTGAGTAGTACTTCGAGAGAATACTATGTGTATTATTAACCATGTCAATCAATAAAACAGATAAATTAATTAGACAATTTAAGTGAAAGATTCAACGGATTGTTAGTTGACCTCATAGCTCTGCAATATTTTCTCCTATTAAATTCATATCTAAGATTGCCGACTTGTTTCCTTTAATTTCTTAGTTTACTACCTAGATTAGTTTTAATTAAATAATCACACCTTAGGATCGCTTAGATTAATTATTGAGTTTAATTTAGTTGGTAATTAATAAGTCTTAGTGGAAACGATACTCTACTTATCACTTTATTACTTGTCGACTATGTATACTTACATGTCATTCGGGAGCAACAAGTTTTGGCGCCATTCTCGCGGACTTTGAAATTGGTTGTTTTGCTAGATTAGACTTCTACTTTTTTTCTATTCAAGTTTTTAATTTTAGTTTAGTGTAGTAGTACTTCTGTAATTATTATTATTTTTTATATGGGATCTTAGAATGAAAATTGGTTGAATAGTGATTATTTTTATTTTGATAATCCTTGTCTATATTATGAAGGACCGCACTTGCGGCAAAATTGTGAAAATATTTTCAGGAGTGAGTTGGTGTACCATCTCAATCTTATGAGTGAAATTTTTGTAATGTGTGTGGTTGTCAAGGTGACCATGGGGATGAATGTCCTAATTATTTTTATCCTTCTCTGAGCCCTTATTGTGATTTTTCTAATAATGTTTGTGAGTATGATAGGAGCAACAAAGTGGAGGATGTGGAACGTGTTGCCCATATTATGGTGACCAAGCAATAAGATGAAAATCAAAAAGCTATAAAAAGAATTAGTGCAGCAATTTTTCCACTAATGCAGCAATCACGAGAAAGAAGGTCAACAACAACAACAACAACAACCCAGTGTAATCCCACAAGTGGGGTCTGGGGAGGGTAATATGTACGCAGACCTTACCTCTACCCCAAGGGGCAGAGAGGCTGTTTCCAGGAGACCCTCGGCTCGAAGAGGCAACAAGAGACACTATATTAGTACTATCAATATACTCATAATAAAACAACATAAAATACCATAAAAACCATAACATAACATAAATACCATAAAAACAAAGTAACAGCAATATAAGAGATATAGGAAATACGAGAAAGATGTAAGGTATTAATACACAGAAGATAAAGCACATCATCAGTAGTTGATCAATAGCATTCTAAGACTAATTTCTAACTGGCTAGTCTCACTCTAGTGCGCTGTAAAAAAGACATCACAATTTCCCTAACCTACCACCTTAATGCTCGATCTCCACAATTCCCTGTTTAGGGCCGTGTCCTCAGTAACCCTAAGTCGCGTCATATCCTGCCTGATCACCTCTCCCCAATACTTCTTAGGTCTCCCCCTACCTCTCCTCGTACCCACCACTGCCAGTCGTTCACACCTTCTCACCGGTGCATCAGTGTTCCTCCTCTGAATGTGCCCGAACCATCTGAGTCTTGCTTCCCGCATCTTGTCCTCCATGGGGGCCACACCCACCTTCTCTCGAATATCTTCATTTCTAATCTTATCCTTCCTTGTATGCCCGCACATCCACCTCAACATCCTCATCTCTGCAACTTTCATCCTCTGGATGTGTGAGATCTTCACCGGCCAACACTCGGTCCCATACAACATAGCAGGCCTAACCACTGCCCTATAAAATTTACCTTTCAGTAACAGTGGCACTTTCTTGTCACACAGGACTCCCGTCGCTAACCTCCATTTCATCCACCCAACCCCTATACGGTGTGTGACATCCTCGTTGATCTCCCCGGACCCCTGAATAAACGACCCCAGGTACTTGAAACTACCCCTCTTAGGGATGACTTGAGAATCAAGCCTCACTTCCACTCCCGCTTCCGTCGGCTCTGCCCCAAATTTGCACTCAAGGTATTCCGTCTTCGTCCTGCTCAACCTGAAACCTTTGGACTCAAGGGTATGTCTCCAAACCTCCAAACCTCTAACGAGAAAGAAAGTCAAGGTGGAAGAATTGGCTAAAAGAGCGAGTTCCTACAAGAAGATAATTTTGAAGAAGCAGATATAGTGAGCCAATTTTAGCTAGAGGAACAAAAGGCTATTATATTTCAAAAGTCTTTTTTTTTCTTAAACTTTGTGTCACGTTAAACTATATCATCTAAATTAAAATGGAGGGAGTAGATGGTGTTAATAATTTTACATAAAATAGTCAACATCATATTGTTTATGTCTGATAAAGAAGTAGAAAAATAGAAATGAGAATATGAGATGTTTACATTCACTTGTTTCCAATCATCACAGTATTTGACCTAGACATCTTTTCTTTTACGCGACTAAACTATTTAATTTCGATGCAGATTCCTTTCATCTTTATTTTCTTACAAGATCAATAATGCAAAAACTAACGTGACAGCGCAAGGGATTATGTGAATCACCCAATGACTTATGATCGGTCATCGAAATTTGGGGTTGACTATATATAGAGGCAGATCTGAATTTTAAATTTTATAAGTTCAGATTTCCAATTCTATCACATTTCATCTAATTTAATGGGTTCAAAATTTATTATTTATTTATATATATATTTAATGATTTGTTGGGAAAAATAGAAGATGAACGAAAGCTATTGGTTCAGTACACTAGATACGCCTCTGAGTCTCTCACTATGCTGATAGTAAGGCCAGTTAACCTTATTACTATATGCTCACGTCACAAGTTAGACATCATCATCTCTAAAATGCAAAATAGAAATAACAAAAATATGCCTCCTCCTCCTCCTCCTTAATTACTAGTATTATATTAGGGTTTCAAAACACTAATATTTCTTGCAATTTATGATAGTACTAGTTGTCAATTTACGCCATAAGCGGACGAGTTGTTGCTTGGCTAAACTCCATTAGAGAGCTCTAGAAGCTTCGATTGAGAAAGGAGAAGAGGGTTGATTACAGAGATGAAGAAATGAACTTCTCACTTTGTATTGCTCCATATTAGTACATATATACACACGAGCATAAGACAAAAATAACTAATGCTAACTGACAGCTAAGCAACTCTAACTGACAGTTAAACTGGCCTTAACTAACACTAACTACCACTAACTAATTGTACAATGCTAACAGCTAAGCGTACATCGTATAGAATTATATAAAATGTATATATACATCTCAATACCCCCATCAAGTTGAAGGTGAAGTCTTCACACCCAACTTGTTTAAGAGAGCAGAATGCTTGATACCAGTGAGAGCTTTTGTAAGAACATCTGCTAATTGAACACCAGTTGCAATGTGATGTAAAGATATGAGGCCTTCATAAAATTTGTCTCTTACAAAGTGGCAATCGACTTCAATATGTTTAGTTCTTTCATGGAAGACAGGATTTCTAGCTATGTGTAGAGCAGATTGACTATCACGGTAGACTGGGACTGGCTTGGGATAGGAGATAGTAAGTTCATCAAAGAGTCTGTACAACCAAGTCAATTCTCCCATAACTTTCCTCAAGGACCTGTGTTCTGCTTCAGCAGAGGATAAAGAAACTGTTTCTTATTTCTTTGATTTCCAACAAATTGGACTGTTCCCCAATAGGACTATGTACCCTGTGACTGATCTCCTAGAATCTGGGCAGGCTGCCCAGTCTGAATTATAGTATCCCTTTAGACTGCAGTCAGAATCATTAGACATGAAAATTCCTAGAGTAGGATCACCTTTCAAATACCTAAGCAAATGAAAGGCAGCCTTCAAATGTGGTTCTTTGGGATCCTGCATGAATTGACTGAGATGTTGAACACTGAAGGCTATGGTGTTTGTGAGAAAATTCAACTTTCCCACAAGCTTTCTATAATATGTAGGATCTAGTAATGGTTGTC